GGGTCCGAGGCCCGCCTCTCTCCTCAGCAACTAAGGAGTTGACTCTTCAAAAAGGGGGCGGTCCCGGAAGCTATTCCGACCAGTAAGACAGCTGGGTGCTGAGCACAGGCTCCGAGGAAGCGGCGGCCCCACAGGCCGGGCCAATGGGAGCTCGGCAGGACCGGCCTAGCACTTGCGCATGCGCGGAAGGGGACCCAGCGCGAAAGCGCCTGGGAGGTGTAGTTTCCAGGGCTTAAAGGTCCGCCGGCTCCCGCGGCCGGTACTAAATTTAGAACTTCGCTTCTACTCCTCTTCGGAAATGGGTAAGCCCCCTAAAATATAGTGCACGTGGCCATGGCTTTTTATGGTAAAAAAAAGGGAAAGAGGTGCACTGAGACCACTGCCACCTCCCTTAGGAAGGCAAACACTGGGAATGGGATATGGGCTGAAACCCTCCCTCAGGGCCCCACGCCCCCAGATCTCACAGCACAGACCACGATTCACAGGTTTCTGTCCCTTTTAAGGGTTCACTTTTAATCAGCCAAACATCTTGCGGAGACCCTGAGCCAGTCCTGCATCTTGTTTCTTCCCCTGAAAGATCACCTTTCCCAGCTCCTCCTGGGCTGCCCGGTTTTTTGGATCGACTGCCAGCACCTTCTTGAGGTCAGCAGTTGCTTTTTCCAGGTTTCCAAGGGCAGCCTGAGCAACCCCCCTTCGGTACAAGGCCTTCACATGCCCAGGCTCCCGCTCCAGCGCCCGGTCACAGCTCTGGGCTGCCAGGAGGGGCTGTCCCAGCAGCAACTGACAGGCAGCCAGGTTGGCATGAAGGACAGTGCGCTCTGGAGAGCCAGGTGGAGGTAAAGTCAGCAGCAGCCGAAGAGCCCGTCCGTAGCATCGGGCAGCCCCTTCTGGGTCCCCAGCTCGAAATAACTCTGTTCCCCGCGCACGTTCTTGCCTAGCCAGGGCCTCCTTCTCGCTGGCCTCCAGCTCCCAGGAGTCCTGGCCCTGAGTGAAGGAAGCCAGTGTGAGCCGGACAGGAGGTCCAGAGTGCCCCGGGAGCTGCAGCTCCGCCTCCTCACCCTGACACATGGACTCCAAACATTTCTCTATGAGCTCCCCCCAGGTTCCCTCCCTCCACGAGCCTAAGCCCATAGTTAGCTCTGTCCAGCCCTCTGGCAGCCCTGACCCAAAAGGAAACCCAAAAGCCAGTACGCGGCAGCGGGAGCCCAGCTTGGGTTTGTCCAAGCCGTGGCCACGGATTACGATCTTCTTGACAAAGCTCCCATCCGGACAGTCCCAGAGATCCGGAGCGCGGAGGGGCTCTGGCATCTCACTAGCCGATCCATGGGGCTTCTCGGCGTCTCCTTCGAGCGCAGCAGCCAGTTTTCCAGCCCCTTGAGGAACCTCTAGAAGTTGGCTGGGAGCTGGGCTCATTCTCAGCTCGAGAACTCCAGGCTCTTGGGGCTGCTGCCTAGTTTGAGTAGTTGGATGAAGGCTCTTCTTGGGGTTCCCTCCCCATTGTTGTTGCGGTTCAGAGGTGCTTTTCTCTCCCACTGGATTGATTGGTAGCGTCTCCATTTCGCTGTCTGCTCCCCTCCCCCGTGGGTAAACAGTTTGGGTCGGAAAGGGATGGACCAGATTCAGGTCAGCACCTGAAAAAAAATCAAAACAATGCTAACGGCAGATTCTTATTTAGACTCCTTTCCTTCCGGGACCTGGGCCTCAAAGTTCTTGTTTCCTCCAAAAATCCTTGTGGGGCTCCAGCCTGGGTTCCACGCAGAATCCGGAACTACAAAGTCCACAATTCCCTGCGGTCCTGTGGCCACCCCAACGACGGAAACCGATCGAGTCCAAAAGTCCTTGGGCGGCCGAAGCGTCCCGCCGGGTGGCGCTGTCCGGATCACTCCGGTCACCTGCGCTTCCGACGCTACGAGCTTACTGAGTGCTGTCCTCCGCGTCCTGCCGCAGGCGGAGAGCCGGGCCGGGCCGGGGCCGAGGCAGGAACCTACAGCTAACCTGGAGCCCGCGAGGCGGCGAGTCCGGTGACGCCGCGCCCAGAAGGCGGGGAACCAGCCTCCCGCCTCCCGATTGGCTGCCCGCTCCCGGGAAGCTCCAGGCCTTAGCAGCCGAACTAGGCCCGTCGAACCCAATCGGGCACGGCCGATGGCCGGCCAGAAGCCCCGCACTGGCGGATTGGGGCGGACGCGGGAGAAGGGATGGTGCGTGGCAGCGGCGGCAGACCAGCGCCCTCTCTTCGGGCGACCTCAAGCCCTGCGCGGTCGATTTTGTCCCCTTGTTCGGGGCTGCCCGGCAGAGGCCACCTTGCGCTCCTTGCCCGCGCTGTCCGGGCGCTCCAAGAGAATCCTCAGGCCCCTTCTCCGCGTCCGGCCCTCCTCCTTCACATTCATCGTGGCCTTCAAGCTCGTCCTCCTCAAGAAATCTTAGTGCTTTTCAAATTTTGATGTTCATAGAAAGCACCTGGGAAACTTTAATTCCAGGTTCTGCTTTAGGAAGGCTGGGATGGGGCCTGCAATTCTGCATTTCTAACAAGCACGTGGGCGCTGCTGCTACTGGTCCACGGACCACACTTTGTTTTTTAAAAATGTATTTGTTATTGATTCAGAGATAAAGGGAGAGGAAGAGAGAGAGAAATATCAGTGAGAGAGAATCACTGATCAGCTGCCTCCTGCACGCCCCACACCGGGATCAAGGCCACCACCTGGGCAAGTGCCCTGCTGGAGAATCAGACCGTGACCTCCTGGTTCATAGGTGGACGTGCAACCATTGAGCCACGCCAGCTGGGCCACGGGCCATGAATAGCATGCTTCTAGAATAACCTCACCCCATTCCCTTCATCCCTTGCTCCGTGCCCCTTTAGTGTGTCCTATATCTTGTACATATAACTAGTATAACCTGCTCCACTGGGCGTATCAGTGGAAAACTGGGCCTCTTCCTCCTAATAGAAGATGTAGGTCCCTTTGTGGTTCAACCTTGCTTGTCCAGCAACCTGCACGGTTGGGCCACCAGAGCTCTTCAGGAAAGGAGAGTTGCACTTCCATACCTCACCTTGGCCCGTTTACTTGCTTTTTAACGCCTACCATTGTGCCTGTCTACAAGGACCATGCCAGGGCAGTCAGGAGGGAAAACTTTCGTCATTATCCACAGGTGTGAGTCAAAACAGTCCACTTCCTGTTTTGTGTTGAAACTCACTAACCTAGACTTTTTTTCTCAAGTTTTATTCCTGGGTTCTGTGCCAGAGTGACCTTAGTACACTGTACACTGCCACCTCCTTCCCTCTATGGCTACATACTCTTGATTCTTGGAATCCCTGGGCTCTTGTTGAAAATTAATCTATCTTTTCTTCCTCCCTCTTCCTCTTTCCATTTCAGAGACTTCTGGGAAAGGCAGGAAGTCTAGAATGAGTCACAAAAGGTTTTATTAGGTCATAATCCCTGTACAAAGGTTGCTAATTTGTAGTATGTGTGCCTTAATTGAGAGGGCCACTCCAATGACCCTTTAAAGATGAGCTTCTTTCAATAAAAAGGAACTATACTCTCCTAGAAATGTATTGCTTTGTAATTTCTCTTATTGGTATATGTGTGTATATATTTATCAAGCACCTGCTGTGTTCCAGGCAGCATGCTAAGAACTGGGGATGGATACCTAGGTGAATGAGCCAGACACAGTCCTGCTCTCATGGAATGCAAGTCTGGCCAAGGAGAAGAAGCATGAGGTGCTATGAGAGTAAATGAGGGATGAGGGAATATTCCTTGAGGGTGAGACATTTTTACTGGCATCTAAAGAATTAGTTATTTTTCTAAAGCCTGAACAGAGAGAATAAAAATGACAGTGGAGCTACACAGACATGCTCCCAGGACCAAAATAAATTACAACTAAAATACAAAAAGCATCCTGAACAATCAACTGAAGGATAGCTGGAGAGCATCCTGATAACCAAGGATGGAAAGTGGAGACAACATAGAGACTGGTAGGAAGGGTGGAGGCATGAAGGGGCTGGCTGGGCTCCCACAGACATAACAGAAGTTCTGGAGAGATATCTCAGCTGTGGGGGTTGCCACTGAGAACTCAGGGGTCTAATCCCCAAGCAGGGCCCCCAGCAGAGAGCATCAGAACTGAGAAAAGTGCCCACATGACATCTGGCTGTGAAAAGCAGCAGGGTTGCTGTCTGCCAGGGATAGGCAGCTGGGAAATTCAGGTACCCACTTAAAGGGCCAATGCACAAAATTCCCTGTGGAGCCACTCACCTTGTGCTCTGGCAGAGGGAGGGCAGAGTGGACTGGAGCTGTGTGAGCAGAAGCCAGGGTTGGGGGCTCTGTGGTTAGAGCTCAGAAGGCAAACACCCCAGTTTCTTATGCTGAGTCATTCCCTTGTGCTGCGGAGATCGTCTTTCTCAGGCAGACATTTGCTATACCGGTGGTTTCAACAGTTGACCCACCCTATTGGAAAACACCTTGCTCCATGCTGTGGAGTTTCTGAGGCTCATTAAGAGACTGAGAATGGGTTTTTGTATGCACCATCTCTAATTCCTTGACTTGGTGGAGCTATCCCTTTGCTTGTTGGGACTCCACTGATTTTCTCTGGGAGAGGAGGAATAAATGGGAAACTAGCAGAAACACGGAGGCAAAGTAAGAGCAGAAAGGATGACCCCAGGGATGAACTAACATCCAGATTGTATTTTAGGATAAAGTAAAGCATTTACAGAAGGCTTTTGCTTCAAGAGTAGATAAATCCACACAGACTGAAGTTCTAGGCTATGATGAGAATCTTAGCTAAGATAAGAATCCTCTGAGGAGAACCAAGATGGCGGCGTAAGGTACAGACCTGTGCCTGCTGCCTCCCACAACAACATCGAGACTACCAACTATAAAAGAAACAGTTGTCATTCAGAACCATGGGAAAGCTGGCCCAGTGGAAGCTCTACAACTGGAAGGAAAGAAAGAAGAGCATTGAGACTGAGTAGGTTGTGCAGAGGCTCCAAGAACGGAGGTGCGGAGTCGTGTGCCAGGCTGGCTGCAACTGGATGCGTGGTTTTTTTTCAACCAGAAGGGGATGCAGACTATCAAATCCACTGAGCGTGTTTGGGGCAGGATCCTAAGGTCCCAGACCCCTACGGGGAGAAGCGGGACGGCCTTGCAACGACCCGGAGAGCGAGAGTGGCTGTCTCATGGAACTGCTCGCTGGCACTCGGGGACGCGAGTCGCTGAGTCACGGAGAGGTGAGTAGACGAGGAGACACCATTGCCCATGGCCCCGCCCTGGTGATTCCCGGGGACCCCGCCCTACTCAAATTACATCCCCAACCAAGCTGTGCTAGTGGCACAAAGAGAACCACCGGCGCTTTTGCAGCCCAGCCCAGCAGAATGCAGATTTCAACTCCTCGCATACATAAGGGACACACTCAAGAAGCAGAATCAGGTTCGGAGGAAGCCGGAGCCGGAGCCGGCTGGGCCGGCGACGCGGAACCACTGTACCAGCAAACGCACAGGCAGGCCCAACAGATCCAGTCTCACACGGGACGCTGGGAGACGGCAGACAGGCAGTCTGTGCACTTGGTAGAAAACGAAATCCAAGCAAGCATACCAGATATTCAGCCACCAGGAACACCTAGAGATTTTGTCCTGCAAGGAGCCACCCAACAAAGAACAGAATGCCAAACTTTGTGTTACTGAGACAGCCCCCGTGAGGCCGAGGCGGCCCCCATAGAGCCGAGGCGGCCCCCGAGAGGCTGGGATGGCCCCGTTGAGGCTGAGGCAGCCCCGGTGAGACTGGGACAGCCCCGGTGGGGGTGGGACGGCCCCAGTGGGGTTGAGACGACCCGGTGAGGTTGAAATAGCCCCGGTGAGGTTGAAACGGGCCCGGTGAGGGTGAGACAGACCTGGTAAGGTTGAATCGGCCCCAGTGGGGTTGAAACGGCCCCTGTGAGGTCGAAATGGCACCGGTGAGGTCGAAACAGCCCCAGTGAGGTCAAATCGGCCCCGGTGAGGCTGAAACAGCCCCAGTGAGGTTGAGACGGCCCCGGTGAGGTTGAAATGGCCCTGGTGAGGTTGAAACGGCCGCTGTGAGGTCGAGACAGACAGCCCCTGTGAGGTCGAGACGGCCCCTGTGAGGCCAGGACAGACCCGGTGAGGCTGGGACGGACCTGGTGAGGCTGGGACGGCCCCGGTAGGGTTGCAATGGCCCCGGTGAGGTTTAAACGGCCCCTGTGAGGTTGAGACGGCCCCGGTGAGGCTGAGACGGCCCCGGTGAGGTCGAAACGACCCCGGTGAGGTTGAAACGGCCCCAGTGAGGCTGAAACGGCCCCGGTGAGGTTGAGGCAGCCCCTGTGAGGCTGAAACGGCCCCCGTGAGGCTGGGACGGCCCCTGTGAGGCTGAGATGGCCCCTTTGAGACTGAGACAGCCCCTGGGAAGCTGAGAAAAATACCACATGAACTCGCTCATTTATGGATAATAAGAAACATTATAGACTGATGAACGAAAATGGATACAGAGGCAGAGCAGCATTGAGCAGAATGTCAAACTACAGTGGGAACCCTGGGGAGAGTTGGGGGGAGTAGGAGATCAACCGAAGGACTTATATGCATGCATATGAGAATAACTAATGAACACAAGACACTGGGGGGTGGGGGAGCCGGGGGAATGTCAAGGGGGAGAAAAAAGGAGACATGTGTAATACTCTTTGTAATACTTGAAGAAATTAGAAAAAAAGAGAGAGACTGAGAATGACCATTAGCCTCTCGGCAGAAGCAATTGCCCCACCCTGTTGAAAAGATAGGACACACTAAAGGGGCATGGAGCAAGGGATCAAGGGAATGGGGTGAAGTTATTCTAGAATCATGCTATTCAAAGTGTGGCCCGTGGCCCAGCTGGCATGGCTCAATGGTTGCACATCCACCTATGAACCAGGAGGTCACGGTCTGATTCCCCATCAGGGCACTTGCCCAGGTGGTGGGCTTAAGGGAGCTGTGGGACAATATGAAATGTAACAATATTCATACAGTAACAATGCCAGAAGAGGCAGAAAGGGAGCAAAAAATAGAGAACATGTATGAAGAAATAATGGCAGAAAACATCCCTAACCAAGTGAAGGAAAAAGTCACAAAAGTTCTGAAGGCACAGAGAACCCCAAGCAAGAAGAACCCAAACAGTCCCACACCCAGACACATCATAATTAAAATGCCAAAAATTAAAGACAAAGAGAGAATCTTAAAGGCAGCAAGAGAAAAGCAAACTGTTACCTACAAAGGAGCTCCCATAAGGCTAAAATTCATCAGAAAGTCTACAGGACAGAAGGGAATGGTATGAAATACTCAAGGTAATGGAAACCAAGGATCTGAAACCAAGATATATACAACAAGGCTTTCATTCAAAATAGATAGTGAAATAGCTTCTCAGACCAAAAAAAAGGCTAAAGGAGTTCATCACCACCAATCTAGCACTACAAGAAATGCTAAAGGGACTGCTGTAATGAGAAGAAAAAAATAGAGAAACCTAGGCATACAGAATCAAAATGGCAATAAATAAGTATTTATCAATAATAACCTTAAATGTAAATGAACTAAATGCTCCTATCAAAAGACATAGGGTAGCTGAATAGATATAACAACACAACCCACCTATATGCTGTCTACGAGAGACCCATCTCAGAACAAAAGACTCACACAGGGTGAGAGTGAAGGGATGAAAAAAATTTTCCATGGAAATGAAAAAGAAAAAAAAGCTGGGGTAGCAATACTCATATCTGACAAAATAGACTTCAAAATGAAGGCCATCACAAGAGGCAACAAAGGTCACTACATAATACTAAAGGGACTGATCCAACAAGAGGATATAACCTTGGTAAACATATATGTTCCAATATAGGAACACCTAAATATATAAAAAAAAACTTTTAGAGGACTTTAAGGGAGAGATCAACAATAATACAGTCATAGTAAGGGACTTTAACACCCTGATGACTTCACTGGATAATTCTTCCAGACAAAAAATCAACAAGGAAACAGTGACACACTGTATCACATGGTTTTAATGGATATTTATAGAACATTTCATCATAAAGCTGCAGCATATACATTCTTCTCAAGTGCACATGGGTCATTCACAAAGATAGACCACATGTTAGGACACAAAATAAGTCTCTACAAGTTCAGGAAGATTGAAATCATATCAAGCATCTTCTCAGATAATAATGGAATGAAATTAGAAATCAACACCCTAAAATATTCAAACACATGGATGCTGAATAACATGTTATTAAACAATGAATGAGTTACCAGTGAGATCAAGAAAGATATAAAAAACTTCCTGGAAACAAATGAAAATGAACATACAACAACCCAAAGTCTCTGGGACACAGCAAAAGCAGTCCTGAGAGGGAAATTCATAACAATACAGGCATACTTCAAAAAAACAAGAAAAATTAATAATAAATGATTTAAGCTTACAACTTAAAGAATTAGAAAGAGAACAAGAAAAGGCCAGAGTAAGTAGAAGGAAGGAAATAATAAAGATTAAAGCAGAAATAAATGACACAAAAACTTAAA